TATATATATATATATATAAAAACGTAAACATGAAATTCAGGAGTGGGGTTACCTGTGGGAAGGAAGAGGCGAGGACATCTAGGTTAGGTGTGTGTTATTCTTGTTATTCTCGTTACTGGGATGGGAGGGGAGTTTGCCGGGTCCGTTATGCTCATAGGACCGTGAAATAGGATTCCTATAAAGGGGGTGTGCGTCATCCGCAGGTCTCACTTTTGCGCTCACCCCTATGCACCCCCCTCCCCCGCCCATTCTCTCGCGCCACCCCCGCAGAGAAGAGCGAGACCTTCCTGGAGGTGTGGGGGAACGCGCTGCTGCGCCCCCCGGTGGCCGCCTTCGTGCGCACCCAGGCCGACCGCCTGGCGCGCCTGGTCCCGGAGCCCGACAGACTGGTGGAGCAGCTGCCCTGGCTCAGCCTGGGCGCCCTCAAGGTGCCGTCACTGCTCGGAATCTGGATGGCCGCGGGAAGAATGGAAACGGGCAGTCCAGAAGGGTTTGCGCTGGTGGAGTGGGCTGGGGGCTCGGGAGAGTTCGAACCCCGGCTCCCCAGCTCCCACTGTGGGATTTGGCCCAGCGGGTGGCTTCTACTCGGAGCTTCAGTTTCTTCATCTGGGATGGAAGGGAGGGTCGAGTAGAAGCTGGTTTCCCTGCAGCCTCCTCTTCCTTCTCTCTCCCCACGCATGCCTGGCCCCGCAGTTCCGCGAGCGCGACACCCTGGAGGCCATATTCCGCTTCTGGACTGGCGGAGAGAAGGGGCCCCAGGCCTTCCCCATGAGCCGCCTCTGGGACTCGCGGCTGCGCCACTATCTGGGCTCCCGCTACGACGCCCGGCGCGGCGTCAGTGACTGGGACCTGCACATGAAGCTGCACGACCGTGGGGTGAAGGCGCTGGAACCCCGGCCCTGGGTGCGACAGAGGAGGGGCTGGTGGCCCATACGCCAGATTCGCTGACGTGTCTCCTTCCTCCCCCCACCCCAGGCCCGAGTCATCCACACCTGCGAATTCCGGCGTTGGAGGGACACCGGCGTTGCCTTTGAACTCAGAGACTCCAGCGCCTACCATGTGCCCAACCGGACCTTGGCGTCCGGGCGCCTCCTGAGCCATGTGCGTGTCCACTACCTTCCCTGGCCACTCTTCTTTCCGGGGACTCAGAGCAGGGGTCCCCAACATAGGTCTCACCCGCTTTTCTGCTTCCTCAGCGAGGGGAGCGCGTGGCTGCGCGTGGGTATTGGGGGGACATCGCTACGGGGCCCTTCGTGGCCTTCGGTATCGAAGCGGACGACGAGAGCCTCCTGAGGACCAGCAACGGACAGCCGGTCAAGGTGTGTGGCTGGAGTTGGGGCTGGAGGCGGGAGGAACCCTCCCCCGCGCCCCGTCCCCCGCACCTTTTCGGTGTGGCCTTTCCATCCAAGTAACAGGCCCCGCCCCTCCCTACTAACTAACCCAGTCTGGAAATCCAAGCTCGCCGTCCCGCTAGTTCAGGGGGCGGGCTGGGGGAGGAGTGGTTCTCTCAGCCCCATCCTGCCGGCGCGGAGGGGCCCAGAGTCTGACCACGACCCTCCCCCCAGACCGCGAGCGAGATCACCCAGCACAACGTGACGGAGATGTTCCGGGAGATGGCCGCCTGGGGGCGCCCGAGAGCCGCCCAGGGAGACCCCGAGCAGGTGCAAAGCAGCAGGGATGGAAGCCCGGAGCCCGGTAAGCCAGGGACTCAGCTCTCCCCTTGGTTGGGGGAAGCCGGGTTCAGGTGATAAAAGCGGACACATACTCCGGGCAAGAGTGGGACCCAGACTCCTCCCATCCCCGGCTCAGGCTCCAGGTGTTTCAAGTCCGAGCGTGTCCTAATACAGTTCCGAATGCCTGGACAAGTGACCACTCCCCCTTCCTGAAATTCCTTCTCTTTTTCTCCCTTTGTATTTCTCTCCCTCTCCTAAATCCTGACGCCATTCTTAGCATTCTGAATTCCAATAGTAAAATTCTATCCTCCCTGCAGAGAAGCCAAGAACATTCTAAGAAGTGCTCGGGTCCCAGCTCACCTTTGGAGAGACCTCTCCCCAAATCTGGGCCTGCCCCCATCCACCCCACCCCAACCTGCCCCTCCCCATGTGTGTGGATGCCTTGTGTGGCCATGGGCCGCCCATTCCCTTTCTCTCTCTTGAGTCTCTGTTGCCTGTCCTGCCTCTGGGCCCACATTCTCAAAATATTCCAAAAATCCATCTAAAGCAAACGATATGTAAGGGCTTCAAGACGGACAAGGAGTGTTATTTGCAAGCCCTGTGTGTCTGCCTAACTGTGCCCATCTTCCCCAGCAGCCCTGGGCCTGGAATCCTTCACTATCTACTTCCTGCCCCTCGGTTCGGCCCAGACTCTCAACCACAAGAGCTGCTACAAGGGGCGGTTCCAGCTTCTCTACGCGGCCTGCGGGTACGAGGGCCTTGAATGGTCCCAGACTTCCCTCTCCCAGCCCTACCACCCTCAGACGCGGGAGTCGAGGCCCCCAGTCCCAACTCCCCAGGACCTGAAAGTCTGAGCTCAGGCCTCCCCTTTTCTCTCCGCAGGATGGTTCATCTTCTCAGCCCTGAGCTCGGGGAGTGTGTGGCCCCCGGAGGACGCCTGATTGTGGAACTCGCCCAGTGAGCCGGTGGGAGGGCAGGGCAGGGAACTTACAGGCTGGGGGCCGAAAGCCAGGTCCCCTAACACGCCGCTTCCCGGTTTCAGGTACCTGGTGGACCTGCGGCAAGAGCAGCTGCAGGGCTTCTCTGCTCGGGTTGCGGAGCTAGCTCAGAAGGCTGGTTTCGCCCCCCACACCCAGGCCAGGCCCTCGGAGACCTTGGCACGCTTCTGCAAGTCCGAGGATGCTCACCGCCTCACTGTCCCTGCGGGGGAGTCCGGGACTCCGCCCCCTGAGGCCCCGGCCCCGCCCCTTGAAGCCAGGAATCGGCCCCTTGAGGACCTGACCCAGCCTCCGCAAGGCCCGGCCCCAACCTCTGAGCCGGTCAAGCTGCCGTCAGAGTCACAAGCTTCACAGTCAGAAGTTCTGGCTCCTCCCACAGGGAGTCAGACCCCCAAACCGGAGTCTGACCAGAACCCCAGGGCCCCAGCTCCCCAGCTCTGACTTCTAAAGTCAGGTCCTGGAATCAGCACCCGCCTCCAGAAGTACACGCTGTCATACTCATCATACTCACCCATCCCCAGGGTTGTTGCTAGACTTTGATTCCATTTCTGAGATTCTCTATTCCTGGGATTCTAGATTGTTCTCCCAGAGTTCGCCATCTCAGTCCTGAGACTGCACGTAGCCTAGAGGTCCTGTCCCGGGTCTCAGGCCCTCTGCACGACCCCCTTGTCCCCAGACGTCCCATTCCTAACTGGTGGTTGGGGGAGTCTGCTCCTCTGGGGTGGTCAGCACCCACGCGGCCCAAGTAAAGAGCTGGGTCCCCTTTTCCGTGTGTTCGTGTGTCTTTCCTATCTCCTGGGGTGGAAGAGGGGAGGGGCAGGGTGGCCAACAAAGGAGAACCGGGACCAAATGTCTGGTTTTTAAAGTGAACTAGGGGTGGATTTCTCTCTGCCGTTGTTTGAGAGCCTGGGCATCCCACACCTGGATCCTAAATATGTCACCACAATTTACTGAATGGCCAAGAGGTTTGGGGTATTGAAACTGACCATAAGAAGGCGAAAATGATAGAGCTGTAGCCCTCACGAAAACTGCGACTTAGTGAGGGGATGGGGCCCAGACCCTCGAGGGACGAAGCGGGGATGGGGGTGGGGGTGGAGATGGGCTGCTTCTGGGTCTGAGACGGGGGCTGGAGGCCTGGACTCCTCGGTCGGAGGGAGCCAGGGGTCAGATTCCTGGCAGGCAGGGTGGAGGGGCGATCCAGCTGGAGCATGGCCCACCCCACCCCTCACGCGCCCTGTTATCTCGCATTCTGGGCAGGGGGAGGAGGGAACAGCAGTATATTTAGTCTCGGTCCTCGCCCTTTATCTCAGTGTCCTCAGTGGGGCTTGAGGAGCTTGGAAGAGACTGAAGTCTTGAAGTCCCAGGGACCTACAAGGTCACCGCGGACGCCCCCTCACGGACCCTCGCAGTCTCTCGCCCCTTTTCTGCCTCCTGTAGCTCCAGGCCTGAGGGTCAGCATGACCGACAAGTGAGTGCACCGCGGGTACCCAGACTCCAGAGGCCCGAGACAGTGGGAGGTGGGGCGATCCTTGCAGCCCTGAGGGAGTGAGAGCTGCGAGGCTGGACACGAGGCCTGAGAAGGGCGGTGGGGCAGGACTGCCGGGTGTGGGAAAGAGGTAAGAGGGTGAGAATCAGGCCCTAGGACCTGAGGAAGGGGTAGCTGGCGGGCCGGCCTCTCGGTCAGCTCTGACCGACTGGACAGACGCAGGCACACGTAACCCCCTCTCGTGGTTTCTGTCTCTCTAGGAGCGACGACGCGGTGAGAGCGGGCATGGGCCAGGCCAGGGCCGCGTGGCCGGGAGGGCGCTGCAGGGAGGGCCTGGGCAGAGGCTGCGCCCTGGGAGGCGGCACGCAGAGGCGCCGGGGTCCCGGTGCTGACTTGGCTCTGTCCCCCTAACCCCAGGCGGGGAGCCCGGCCCCCGCGCCCCCGCCGATCCGACGCCGCTCCTCCAACTATCGCGCCTACGCCACGGAGCCGCACGCCAAGGTGAGGGCGGGGCGGGGCCTGCGGGGGCGGGACTTTGTGAGCGGAGTCCTAGCGGATGAGGGGAATCAGGGGCGGAGTTTCGCAAAAGGCCGGCTCGATCTGAGGAGAATGGCCGGTGGGCGGAGTCCGGGGCGGGAGTTGGAGGTGGGCCCGTATTGAACCTGGTTGGAGGGGACGGGCTATGAAGCCCCTCCCACCACCCGCCTTCGGAACCCTCTCTGATCCTTCCCTGCCCAATCTCACCCCGGCAGAAAAAGTCTAAGATCTCCGCCTCGAGAAAACTTCAGCTGAAGGTGCGGATGAGCCTGGAGAGGGCGCCATGATGTCATCGGGGCGGAGCTTTAAAGTTGGGGCGGGGCCTCCGTCCGTGAGTGGGCGGGGCTTTGGCTGGGAACCCCGTAGTCTGGAGGGGTAGGGCCTTGGAGTGATGGACACCGACCTTGACGGGGCGGGTTTCTGTGACTAGAGGGCGGAGCCCGGCGGAGGCGGCTTCCCTGCGCTGCTCGGTCTTCATCCCGCTACCCGTGTGGGCTGCGGTCCCGCCTTCCCTCCACAGACCCTGATGCTGCAGATTGCGAAGCAGGAGCTGGAGCGGGAGGCGGAGGAGCGGCGTGGGGAAAAGGGGCGAGCTCTGAGCACGCGCTGCCAGCCTCTGGAGCTGGCCGGGCTGGGCTTCGCGGAGCTGCAGGTACCGGCTCTAATCCCGGACTCCCGCCCAGCCGCGGGTCCGCGGTTCCTAGTGTCCGGTCTTGCATCCTTGGGAGTCAGAGGCCCTACTGTCCTCCCCAAATACTCAGGACCTTGGGATCCGAACTCCCAAGCCTTATCCTCGGGAATTCAGAAATGTGGCTGCAGCTGCTCAGTCACAAAACCTAGAGGTTGGTTCCTCCAGCCCTAATTCTGTCAGATTGTCGGGACTCCTGGCTCCTAGCACCTTCTGTTCCAAGTTCCCCAGAACCCGGCTTATCTAGGCTGCGAGCTCCTCTTCCCGTAGATCCAGGAGTCAGGGTCCCCAGCTTTCTCCCCAACACACACACTGCGTTCCTCCTCTAGGACTTGTGCCGACAGCTGCACGCCCGCGTGGACAAAGTGGATGAGGAGAGATACGACGTGGAGGCGAAAGTCACCAAGAACATCACGGAGGTGGGAGGCGCTGGGCAGTCTGGGCCTCTTTAGGGAAGGATGCAATGGCCAGGGCTGTGGTCTCAGCCTGACCTCTTGCAGTGCCTGTGGCTGCAGGGACCAGGAGACGCAGGACCACTCTGTGAGTCTGGCAGGGAGGGGGCAGACGGATAAGTACCCTGGGGTCAGGGAAGGCAGTTCCAAGCAGAGGAAAAGCCGGAGGTGAGAAATCAGAAAAAATATCTGTGGAATGTGTGACTGGAGCACCGAGTGTTGGTAACTGAACCCATGTGCCAGGGAACTGAGATGCGTGCAGCCTGCCCAGGAGGCGGTGGTGGCCTTCAGGGGCGAGGCTGGAGCAGATCCCGTCCCAGGCCGAGGAGCTTGGACTTTGTCCTGAAGGCGGTGGGAGTCTGAGTGACGGAGAGCCTCGATGAGACCTGGGGAGGGACAGGACGGAAGCGTAGGGTGCAAGGGTGGGGCGACGGGGAAGCAGAGGGAGGGGTCTCCACCTAGGCTAATGGCTGCTCCCAGATTGCAGATCTGACCCAGAAGATCTACGACCTTCGAGGCAAATTCAAGCGGCCCACCCTGCGGAGGGTGCGGATCTCAGCGGATGCCATGATGCAGGCGCTGCTGGGGGCCAGGGCGAAGGAGTCCTTGGACCTGCGGGCCCACCTCAAGCAGGTGAAGAAGGAGGACACAGAGAAGGTGAGTGAGGCTAGAGCCAGGAAAGGCGGCCGAGGACGGCGTCTGGGGGCAACAACCCTAGGGCCTTAGCTGGGGGCAGATGGCCCTTGGAGGCGTGGGGAGAAGACGCTGGTAAGGGGTCCTCAACAGATAGTACGGGAGCAGCACAGGAAATGCAAGAGGGAGACAAGAAGTAGCAAGGAATGAGGACGTGCATGAGAGAAAAGCAGTGCAGTAGAGAGCAGGACCCGAAGGGGAAGACAGGGACTGTACTAGGAAGAGAAGCAAGGGGGCCGGAAGTGCACGAGGGCGAGAAGCAGCGCTTGCGGGAGACTGGAAGTGCGTGAGAGAGAAAGGAAGTGCTTCAGAACCAGATCGGAGGTCGGGCATTCATAGCAGAGCTGCCCAGCCGGCTGAATGGCAGGTGGAGACTGCAGAGCAGGAGGAGACTCTCACCTCTGACCCCATAACTCCAGGAAAACCGGGAGGTGGGAGACTGGCGCAAGAACATCGACGCACTGAGCGGAATGGAGGGTCGCAAGAAGAAGTTTGAGGGCTGAGCCTGCCTGTCCACCACCCTGGCCCTGAGGAATAAAGCTTCTTTCTGAGCTGGGCATGGCTGCGTGTCTACTACCTGGGGCCTTAGGTGTGAGGCAGATGGGACAACTGAGGTGGGGCCCCCAGAGTCCCACATCAGGAGCAGAGCTGGGGTCCCACTACTGGGCATCCTTGGCTCCTCTGCTCCAGCGACGTTGCACAGAGATGCCGAGGCCAAGGCCCAAGGAGAGACACACAGAGACAGTCAGAGACATGGAGAGAGACCCTGGAAAGGCCTAGAAGGATAGAGATATGGATACAGGGCCAAAAAGACAGAAATGGGGTCAAAAACACCCATAGACGGACACCTAGAGGCGGATACACAAGGGCACCCGTGGAGACGCAGAGACAAAAACAGAAAGACAATTGGAGGGAGGCACTGAGACCCAAAGAGAACCCCTGGGAAACAGGCAGAAACGGAAACAAGAGACAGCAGGCGGTGAATGACACAGAGGGTTGAGGACTCCCGCTCACCAAGGCTGTCACCCCTAGAGCTCAAGGTCATGGCTTGGTTGGAAAGGGGAAGAGGGATCACTGTCAGAGGGAACGGGGTGGGGTGTGTGTGTGAGGTCGCACAGCCGATCCCCACCCTTCCCCTCCCCCAGCACACACCTGCTTCCCCACTTCAGTGCCTGTTGTCACCAGGATGGAATCCTGGTGGCAGACAAAGGGGTTGGGGGTGGGGAAGGGGAGACTGAGAAGCATGGACACACACAGAGGTGAAGAGTCACAGAGACAAAGGAGAGACAGAGGAATAGGGTCTGAGAGATGGAAGCCCAGAGATACAGAAAGGGAGCAACAGCCACAGAACGTGTCTCCTGTACCCTCTTGTCAATCAGCAGTTTCCCAGACCTACTGTGTGCTCAGCCCAGGGATTGCAAAGCCCAGTGTTGTAAGGGATGTGGGGCGCACTGAGGTTCCCAGCAGCCTGACCCAGCTCTGGGTTCCTGGCAGAGGTGGAGGACGGGTCTCGGGCACCCAGGAGGTGCGGGGATCCTGAAGGTGGAGCCAGAGTGGGGGCAGGGCAGCCTCTGAGCAGGGACTCCGATTTGGGGAAAGGAATTCTCTGCCCTCCCTCCCTGTGGGGCGGGGCTGGGCCTGCGCTTATAAACCCAGGGTGCTTCAGCACGCCCGGCAAGGCTCTGCCCACCGTTTACTGCCTCTGCAGATCCAGCCTTAGGTAAGCCCCCCGCCCCTCCAGTCCCCAGGGATGGTGTCCTTGGGGGAGGAAGCCAAGGGGATTGGAGATGTGAGGGGTGTGCAGAAGAGCTGTGGGGGTGGACGGGGCACAACAATGAAGATCTGGGAGTTCAGGAGGGTCAGACTTTAGGGGACTGAGGATGGAGGGGAAGGTATTGGGATGTGGGGATTAGAGAATTGATGGGGGGTGCTGGATTTCAGTGTCCCAGAACATAACACCTCAGACCCAGGAGGTTTAAGTCTGAGGGAATCTCAAGAATGGGGGTCATCTGGGCTTAGATATCAAGTCTGGGAGTCAAGAGAGGGTGTGATGTCTCAGAATCCGAGGATTTAGGAATTGGGGTCTCAGGATCTGGGGTCTTAATGGAGGGGTCAGAATTTGTAGTATTATAATTTGGGGTATTCTGAGTTGGGTCTTTTGAGTTTGGGTATCCAGATTACGGGGTCTCATGATCTTGAGGTTTCAGAATTTAGGAGATGTCAAGACTGAGGTGGTTAAGATCTTAGGGTGTCTGAGCCCAGAATCTGGAGTATCAAGAACTGGGGAGTCAAACTCTGGACATACGAGGACTTGCTTGTCCCCAGAAAGCAGGCGCATTGTAAGGTGGGGTCCCAGGGTCTGTGGGTGTTGGAACTTGGGCTGCTCTTAACCTGTGTACCTTGGGACATGGGGGAGCTCAGAGATTGGGGAGTCTAAGTGTTAAGGGGTCAGGATGAGGTCTGTGGCCCCGGCTGCTCTTGATGCGCCCTGCCCCCTCCAC